TGTGCTTTGCAAAAAGATGCAGATCACAAGAATCGGAGATTCTATAGATTTTAAGAATTTTACCGACTTCGAAGAAATATAAATGTAACCGCTCGAAAATATAAAGTAATAGACAATCTAAAATCTCGGAAATTTTCTCTGATCATTATCATAAAAATCATGTGGTCACATCTTTTTGCAAAGTGCTATAAAATCTTTACTCTAGTACCGTAGTATAGATGATACGAATAAGGTTTGCTAATTCTTAGAAAACCTGGTTTTATAATAAAATTCAGAATTAATGATTATTCGATGTAAAGTACGTACGTACAGTACCTTGATTATCATAGACTAAGTTAATATAGATAAGAGAATAGCTTATTTATCTCGATTAATCACGGCTGATGCTGAATTTGGGGGACGTCTAAAGTGGGATAAATTATATAATTAATATTTTTGAATTAACTTTAGGGTTAGGATAGTCTTAGGCTAGGGTTAGGTTATGTTTTAGGTAGATATATATATGTAAAATTGCCTTTCCGAATTTTTTGCTTAACCTACCCAAGGCAAGATGTTAAATGCTGTCTGACGATCTAAGCATACTTGACCAATCAAAATTCATCACGGGTTAATACATATTCTTAAGATTTCGTGCAAAGTTTTCTCGATAACTATCTATATAATAACATTCAATGAATGTTTTTTTTTATTTTAATTCTACACATTTGTAAAATTAAAATAAAAAAATTGGTCAAATTTGGTCATGTGTTTGTTGAGAAAACATTACTCAAAGTTTAGAAGAATTTGTTCTGTCTATTGTTAATTTAAGTATTTATAATTTTTTTTAAAACTTTGAGCAAAGTTTTCTTGATAACTATATTGCTAAATTTAATAAAAATTTTTTTATTTTAATTCTACATATTTATAGAATTAAAACAAAAAAAAGATTATCAAATTTGGTTAGGTGGTTATTGAGAAACCTTCACTTGAAGTTTAGAAAAAATCTGTCCTGTCTTAGTAATTGTGGTTCTAATTTTTTTTAAAACTTTGAATGAAGTTTTTTCAATAACCACCTGATCAAATTTGTTAAAAATTTTTTATTTTAATTTTACAAATATGTAGAATTAAAACAAAAATTTTAAGGGTGTGGTGACTTAGTGAAGTGGTTAAGTTGTCGTACAATATTGGCTAGATAGGGGGTTTGAAACTCATTATCAACGAATTTTGAATATTCTACTTGTACGATAGCTACTGTCTTTTAATGATCAGTTGAAACAGGATCTCTGTAACTTTGGTGATACTAGCAAGACTAGGAGATCATGGAGTATTTGTGCAATATATAAGTTATACAAAAATATTCTCGGATTATATAAATCTAAAGAACCAGAAAGATAGATACCTGCTTGGCAAGATCTAAGTAGAGAGGTAGCACAGATCTTTGACAGTACTATATAAAAAATTATCATCTAGAAAAACCAAAAAAACTGAACAGGACCAAGGTGTATAGTAAGGCACCTCACCAACCAGGCTACTGGAGAAAAAGAATCTATTGATACCAGGGAACCAGAATCTGGTCTGAGTTGATTCTCGCAGGTAAAAGTCCCTTCCGGGCCATTTGGATTAGTAGTTTGGGATTTAGAGAGTAAGAGTAATAGTTTGTAAAGTATATACTGGGGTTTGGATGAATTTTACAAGTATAAAACTAGGTAATAGTAGTGGTCTCAGCTCGTAAGTACTTGTTCTCAGACTCAATGTAAGTTACTGAAATCTAGATTAGGATCAAATATAGTATAGCTTATCCCAGTATTTCTGAAAATTTTACCAGATCAAATAGGATATACATAGACAACCCCGTCATTACAGTATTACATAATAATATGATTTACATATTGTATAACAGGTGATCTATGAATTGTATTATCTAATCTGAATTAGCTATGTTACATGCATACAATATTTCAAGTAATTAAAAAAGATTATTGACTTTAACTCTATTCCTAAATAATATCTTCAAAAAAATAAGAGAACGAACTTAGATTAGTGAAATATTGATTTCTTAATCATGGCTAGGAATTTTATACTACTTAAAATCTTAACCCAATACTGGTTTCTCAATCATGGCTAGAATTTTTCACTACTTGGATCTTGACCACAACGGCATCTTAAATCTTTAATTTTAACCTTCACACATATAACACTTTCAACTTGGAATTCGTTACCTGGAATGATAAGGTTTTTTTTAATAATGCATGTAACATAGCTAATTCAGATTAGATAATACAATTCATAGATCACCTGTTATACAATATGTAAATCATATTATTATGTAATACTGTAATGACGGGGTTGTCTATGTATATCCTATTTGATCTGGTAAAATTTTCAGAAATACTGGGATAAGCTATACTATATTTGATCCTAATCTAGATTTCAGTAACTTACATTGAGTCTGAGAACAAGTACTTACGAGCTGAGACCACTACTATTACCTAGTTTTATACTTGTAAAATTCATCCAAACCCCAGTATATACTTTACAAACTATTACTCTTACTCTCTAAATCCCAAACTACTAATCCAAATGGCCCGGAAGGGACTTTTACCTGCGAGAATCAACTCAGACCAGATTCTGGTTCCCTGGTATCAATAGATTCTTTTTCTCCAGTAGCCTGGTTGGTGAGGTGCCTTACTATACACCTTGGTCCTGTTCAGTTTTTTTGGTTTTTCTAGATGATAATTTTTTATATAGTACTGTCAAAGATCTGTGCTACCTCTCTACTTAGATCTTGCCAAGCAGGTATCTATCTTTCTGGTTCTTTAGATTTATATAATCCGAGAATATTTTTGTATAACTTATATATTGCACAAATACTCCATGATCTCCTAGTCTTGCTAGTATCACCAAAGTTACAGAGATCCTGTTTCAACTGATCATTAAAAGACAGTAGCTATCGTACAAGTAGAATATTCAAAATTCGTTGATAATGAGTTTCAAACCCCCTATCTAGCCAATATTGTACGACAACTTAACCACTTCACTAAGTCACCACACCCTTAAAATTTTTGTTTTAATTCTACATATTTGTAAAATTAAAATAAAAAATTTTTAACAAATTTGATCAGGTGGTTATTGAAAAAACTTCATTCAAAGTTTTAAAAAAAATTAGAACCACAATTACTAAGACAGGACAGATTTTTTCTAAACTTCAAGTGAAGGTTTCTCAATAACCACCTAACCAAATTTGATAATCTTTTTTTTGTTTTAATTCTATAAATATGTAGAATTAAAATAAAAAAATTTTTATTAAATTTAGCAATATAGTTATCAAGAAAACTTTGCTCAAAGTTTTAAAAAAAATTATAAATACTTAAATTAACAATAGACAGAACAAATTCTTCTAAACTTTGAGTAATGTTTTCTCAACAAACACATGACCAAATTTGACCAATTTTTTTATTTTAATTTTACAAATGTGTAGAATTAAAATAAAAAAAAACATTCATTGAATGTTATTATATAGATAGTTATCGAGAAAACTTTGCACGAAATCTTAAGAATATGTATTAACCCGTGATGAATTTTGATTGGTCAAGTATGCTTAGATCGTCAGACAGCATTTAACATCTTGCCTTGGGTAGGTTAAGCAAAAAATTCGGAAAGGCAATTTTACATATATATATCTACCTAAAACATAACCTAACCCTAGCCTAAGACTATCCTAACCCTAAAGTTAATTCAAAAATATTAATTATATAATTTATCCCACTTTAGACGTCCCCCAAATTCAGCATCAGCCGTGATTAATCGAGATAAATAAGCTATTCTCTTATCTATATTAACTTAGTCTATGATAATCAAGGTACTGTACGTACGTACTTTACATCGAATAATCATTAATTCTGAATTTTATTATAAAACCAGGTTTTCTAAGAATTAGCAAACCTTATTCGTATCATCTATACTACGGTACTAGAGTAAAGATTTTATAGCACTTTGCAAAAAGATGTGACCACATGATTTTTATGATAATGATCAGAGAAAATTTCCGAGATTTTAGATTGTCTATTACTTTATATTTTCGAGCGGTTACATTTATATTTCTTCGAAGTCGGTAAAATTCTTAAAATCTATAGAATCTCCGATTCTTGTGATCTGCATCTTTTTGCAAAGCACAGTAATACAAAGAATTTATTTCTAAATGAAAATATAATCGTATAAATCATTATAAACTCGAACATATATTCATACATTTTAACAAACTCCCTTGATACATATCCAAATGTCTTGATATTGATTATCCGGAGCGTAGCGGAGGATCTACGTTCTATGCACGCTTTGATTGATTAATATGTCTGGATGTCCAGCACGTGATATCTTACTAAAGTATGATTGGGCAAGAGCTTAACGTTAATATACATTGATCAATGTTCGGATGTTCGACACGTGATACATTCCTGATTAGATTCATTTTACGCTCCGGATTTTAACGTTTCACGTTTTCCTAGTAGCAATAAATATTTATAATCTTTTCTAGTGCTCTTAACAATCGGATCGTTTGTGAATTTTGTAAAACCAAAATGTCTCAATGCCATCTTTTGTTGTGGGGGGAATTTCAGGTACCACGATTATTCGTTGATCTATCTCCAACGTTAAATACTATCATTATTATAGTCATAATTTAATTCTTAAGGGATAAACACATTGCTTGCTATTTTCTATTGTATAAATTATGATTAAACCGTTTTTTTCTTAATAGAGAAAGCGGTACAGTATAATAATTTAATAAAATCGTATATACGTATCAGTTATTTCAAAATATATATGTATATATATTTTTACTACGTATCGCTATGTCACTAACGCTAATTGATATTGATATGATAATATGCATATATATATATATATATATATATATATTAATAATACGTACTGTACGTACAATAAATATGGTGCAAATAGTCTAATGAAATGTTATAAATGCACATGATGCAGATAATGAAATGGTTCACACGTGACTTTAACTATAAAGAAATTTCTTCTGCATTCTTTTCAACCGAAAACCCATTTTGACCAGGAGTAAAATCACAAACATCACCCATTAAAGTTTTGCATGGTGCATCGATGTGAATATATCTTTCCGCCTTTTCTATAAGACGACGAGCTGATATATGCGGTAACCGTGAAGATGATACAGTGTCATGAAAAGCGGTCGTGCTATCAAAAATTATAATTCAATATCGCTATTGAAACTTAATAATCGAATGTGGTGCGAACAGTATCTTCTTAGCGTTAGGCCGCTTGAAGTTGAAACTTCGTTTAACGTTATCCCCCCC